GGACCCTCTTCGCCTGGCTGGATTCGCCTTGCAGATGTCTTATCCTGTTCACTTGTTGTATTTAGGTATTTTGATGCACGAGGCCCCGCGTATTTTGGAGGTCAACTGCTTCGTGTCCGACGTGATGCCTACTGGTCGTGGGGTGCTTCCTGGGTGTGTGCAATCTATGCCTTGGGTTAAAATCTACCTGTGTGATCTCTTGGATTTTGCACACGCCCAGTATTCCCTGTGGTCACTCTGGCGTACGTCGATGACATTACCCAGACGCAGCAGGGCTCTTGGAGTGAGATTGTCTCGTGCATCGTGCCAGCCGCAGTTCATTTGTGTCATCAGCTTGAGCAAGCTGGCACTACTATTTCCAGTAAGAGCACGTTCGTGTGCTCAGATCGAGCTTTGCAAGAACATCTTGAGGGGTGTTTCCGCGCTGCACAGCTCCCTATTCGTGTAGGGGAAGCGGTGCGCGACCTGGGGGTCATGACTACCGCAGGGCGTCGACGTTGTGTGAGTAAGTTGAGACAGCGACGTGCTGTTGCTTTTAAGAAGGCTGCGAAAGTGAGATGCCTGACCCGTTTAGTCGGCAGAGCTAGGAAGCTCTATAAGCCTGCTGTGTTGGCGGTTGGTTCCTGGGGCCATGAAGTTTTGGGTCTTTCGCCGTCGCAGGTCCAAAGCATGAGGGGTCAGGCTGCTACGTGTTCTGGTTGGTGGAGCCCTGGGTCCTGTACGACTACTATCCTGAGTCTTGTTAGCCCTGCCACGGATGACCCCCAGTTTAGGTTACGGTACGAACAACTTAATGCCTTTGCGTCAGCGTGGAGTGTGATGGAACATAAGCAACGTATGCGTGTGGCCCGAGTGTGGAAGAAGGTGTTGGCCAAATTCGAGTGCACTCAGTACCGTTGGCAAGTCGTGCGAGGTCCGATCGCGGCTACGCTAGCGGTGCTACTTGATTTGCGATGGGATCCTGTTTCTCCAGTCTGCTGGCGTGTTGGTACAGTTACGTTGCGGGTGACTGACGCAGATTTCCCTGCCCATCTGTGGGACCTCTTATTTGATGCATGCCAGTCTCTATCTTGGCAAGCTGCAGCGGGTCATTATATGGGCACTGGGGTGGAAGGAGGAGTTGATTTTACTGTGTTGTATCGTATGTTACGTCATGAGGAAAGGAACGGCGAGGCGGAGGCTGCAGGAATGGTACGCAATCTTGTCTCTGGAGGCTACTGGACGGAGTCCAGAATTTACGATGCGGGATACCGCTCGAGTTCAGGTGGAACCTGTACGCGTTGCGGCGCCTCAGCTGAGACCCCGTTCCATCGCTTTTGGGATTGCTCTTGCAACCGGCTTGTGCCTGATGCGGTCTTGGATCGCACCGATTGTTTGCGCGATCGCGTTTTAGCGGAGCCTGAGCTGTCGTGCTTGTGGTTTCGTGGCTTGGTCCCGAAGGCTCTCACGTGTGGCCACTTGCCTCCGCCTGCTTTGCAGGTGTGGGAGTGGGGCCGACTGATCGGAGGAGGGGTGATCGATGGAGGAGTGTGGGGAATTGATGGATCTGGGGGGAAGTTCACTAAGGACTGGCGGCTTCGCCGCTGTGGCTGGGCGTGCGTCCACTTAGGTCCATCTGGCCTCTTCGACTCCCTCCTCATGGGCACCCTCCCTACCAAGAAGCAGTCCTCTCCTCGTGCAGAGTTGTATGCTCTTATCATGCTTGCTCGTCGTACTACGGGGCACTGTCGCGTGTACTGTGATTATTTGCGTGTAGTTCAAGGGTCGCGTCGCCCATTGCGTGACAAACGTGGGTCGTCTATGTTGGATCTGTGGGTGCAATTTCATGATGTTTTGAGTGCTAGAGGGGGATCGATCCAAGTGTTGTGGACGAAATCTCATTCTTCCCAGGCCCAACGCCAAAATATGTTTATGAGTGACGTTGAAGTCTATTTGAACCAGGCTGCTGATTTCTTTGCCGATGCTGCTGCTGACAGGGCCCAAATCCCCGAGGATTTAGTGGACCGAACCCGACGGGCCGACAAACTCGCGTTTGATGTGGTTTCGCGGATGTTGGCGGTCCAGCGTGAGGTGCTTTTCTCGGGAGATCGTGAGACCTCGGAGAGAGTTCCTGGGCGGCAGCGCGGGCAGCAGACCAGTTTTTCTGTGAGGCTGTGTCGCTTGCGTGACAGTGGGCATTCTCCTGAGGCACGTTCAGCGTCTCTCAAGTGTTCTCGGTGTGCGCGGGGCTTTCCTTTGAAAAGGGAAGCTGGCGGATTTCTGGCCCGATCCATGCAAGCCTCGCTGCGAACTGCAGCAGCGGATTCAGTGTCTTCCTCCTCGTGTCGCACCGAGCTCAGGGGTGGAAGATCCGCCTCCTGATGATCTTTCTGCTGTTCAGGGGTGTGGAACACCCCTGGACCACCCAATGTCTGAGTTTTGTTCACCCACACCAGTTGGCCGTGTTTCGTGGTGTGTTGTTTTGCGAGGTTTGTGGAGGTTTTTTCACAGTGAACCCCCCTCGCATCCTGAGCAGGGCCTGTGATCGGCCCTCAGCCACTGGGAAGGCGGTTCTTTCGAGGATCGCCCGCGGGCTTCCCCCGAAGTCGGGCACCCGTTTCCCTGATGTGTGATTTGGTGTTTTAGCGACCTCCCTAGTGGAGGATGACGCTTTAGATAAAATTAGAATTAGAATTAGAATCCTTCTCCTTCTCCTCCTCCTTCTCCTCCTCCCTATTTTCTCCTCCCTCTCTTGACCTCTTCCTCTTCTTCCTTCCCCTCCCTTATCTGCCCCCCACTCTGCCCTCCACCTACCGTCCCCCAGTTCCACACCCCGTCTTCCCCCTCACCCTTCCCGCCCCCCACGCCCTCCTTCCCTCTTCCCCCCTCCCTCCCCTTCCTCTTCGCTGGCCCGAAACCTGGGGAAGAGAGGGACTGGGGAGGGGGGGAGCGGGAAGGACCGGGGAGGGGGATGAGGACCAGAGCGAGCCCGGGATGCGCAACCGATGTTGCGGTGCACGCTCCAGTCTCCAGCTCCCTCCCCGTGGGAAGCGCCCCCCTCGAGAGGCGAGCGCCCCTATGGGCGTGCAGTTCGGGCGAGCTCCCAGCCAACAGTAGGGGGCCAGATGCGAGCCCTACCCCTACCCCCCACGATTTCTGAGGGGGAGGGTGGGGTTCACTTTGCTCGGGAGCTCCCGAACGAAATGACCCCCCCCCTCCCCCTCAGAAATCGTGGGGGGTAGGGGTAGGGTTCGCATCTGGCTCCCTAAACGAGAAGAACCGCTCTCCATGTGCCAGGATCACAAGTGTGGCGCCGCCCTCAATCTGTGCGGCCGACGCAGGAGTCGCTCGACTGCGGTGGCATTCTGGTTCTCCCAAGTGTTCTTGGGACGACTGGGGGAGCACTTGAGCCTTCTCTTGGGGACATGTTGGGCAGTCCTGGCGCCCTCTCTTGGGCCGTCTTGGCTCGCTCTTGAGCTGTCAGGGTCTCCTCGAGGTGGCCTGGAGGCTTTCTTCGGGTTCCTCAGGGCTGTTTTAGGGCCCTTTGGGGCAGTCTTGGGGCGCTCTTCGGTCGTCTTGGGGTCGCCTTGAGCCACTCTTGTCAGCTTCCCGGGGATCTCTTGGCGGTCTCCGGTCTCTGGATGGTTTGGGTCAATATCGGGTATCTCGCTTTGTGGGGCCGTGTCCGAGGCTTCTCGTGACTCGTGTCCCTCTCCGGGGCCTGACGGCGCCGTCTTGGGGCGACTTTGGGGGCTGCCCGGGCCGTCTTTGGCGCTCTTCACTGAGGGGGCGATGCTGCTCAAGTCGCATCAAGCCTACGATCTCGGCCTCCTGTGCTGGCCCGAGGGTCTCCAGTGTGGCCCAAGAGGCCCCCAAGACAGCTCCAAGGCGGCCCCCTGGGGCCATCGCGTGGCGCCCGTCGGCGGCGCGCCCAGGGGGGAAGGCAGATGGGGCGGGCCTTCTCGGAAGGCTCGGAAGGCCTCTGGCCCTCCGGGAGGCTTTCCAAGCCTCCTCCGAAGCCGCAGAGGGTGCCTCAGAAGGCCAGAGGGCTTCGGAGAAGCCCCGCCGCCTCTGTGAAGGCCTGCCCCCTCCCCCCTCTCACTTTCCCCCCCCCCCCCGCGCGCCGCCAAGTGTGGGAAGTGTGGACCCCCAGCCAGCCACGCTTCCAAGGATCTGGAGGAGTCGCGCGGAGCACCCCAGAAGCGCCCGAGAGCTCGCTCGAGAACAGGAGCGCCCCGTGAGCCTGCAGTTCAGGCGATAACCCCAGCTAGAAGGCATGCCAAGAGGTATGATCATACACTCAATCGGATGCCCGTCGAGAGCCCTGTTTGAAAAAGGAACCGCCCTCCAGGCGTGTATCCATTTCACAACTTGAAGCTTCTGACCATTTGAAGCTTTAAGCAACGAAATCATTGAAGCTTCTGGTCATAGAGCCGAGGAGGTCTCAAGCGATATGCCCATCTCGAGACGGAGCCATGCTTCGTCTGTGCAATTTCACATGCCTACGCGCGGCGCCACTTCTCGAGGCTGCCCTGCATCCACGTAGCCGTTGGAAGCTTTTGAGTCGAATGTACGCGCCGTTGAACCGAGATCCGAATTTCGGAAACCACCCGCCCTCCAGTATGAGTCAGTATGAGTGGCCACGCACTCTGAGAAATCATCAGACGAGAGGTCATGACCTCCCTGCCGACATGTGTGGTGGTGCGCCAGTTGATTCATTTGCAGTGTAGGGGGGCAGATGGGCGAGACTGGGATGGGCATGGGGAGGGGGGTTGGCTGGACAAGGCAAATACTCGACCAGGCGAAACTCGCCAGGCTGAACTTGGCCAGCTGACATCGGCCAGGCTGAACTCGTCCCGGCCCGAATTCGGCTTGGTCGAGGTCGGCCTGGCCGAGATCAGCCTGGCCGAGATCAGCCTGGCCGAGTTCAGCCTGGCCGAGTTCAGCCTGGCCGAGCGCTTCATGGCCGAGTTCAGTTGCCGCCGCCTGGAGGGGCGAGGTGAGGAGGCAGGGGGGGGGAGGAAGACGATGAGGGCGACCTCCGCATGCCCGAGCTCGCCCGATCCGTGGCACCAGGCAGGCCGCACACGCGCACGTGCGCAGCGCGCGCCGAGAGCGTGCGCTCTACAACAACGAAGCCTCCTCTGCCCTGCCTTGGCCCTCGCGACGGGATACAGTCGGGGTCCTGAAGAAGGAACCCTTTTCGTTGGGGAGGGGCTCGGTGTTCCTTGCTTGTTCTGCAGTGTACCTTCGGTTTTCCTGAGGTTTCCCGTGGGAAATCGAAGTTCAACTTATGGGAGAAATGGGCCTCGTTCCTTATTTAGGGTTCCTTAGGTCAACGCCCCGACGGTAGCTCTTGGCGGCCACTGTGGAGAGTCCGCGGCCAGAGCTCCGGTGGCTGTGTCCAACAGGGGAGGCGGACGCTTGAGAGAGGTGGGCCGACGCCGGCTCAGCTTGTGAAGCCGATTGCGCTTCTGACTTCGAAGCAGGCTCGAGGCTCTGCTTGGCCGCCAGCGATGATCGCAATCTTATTCACGGCCGAAGTGGATTCCGCAAGGTATGTTCGGCACCACGCGCTTTTTTGCTAGAACCCCTCGGGGACATCTGTCGCGAGGCAGCGGCGTGCACAGCACGTTAGGCCCGTTATATTCTAGCGCTTGTCGTGTTAACGACCTGAGCTGGCGGGTCTCGGGGCCGCGGTCACACGTGACACCCCAAAGCTGAATGTGGCTGCTGGTGCCACCCTTTGTCGACCTCGTCAGGATGTGGCTGTACGTGAGTTCATTCGCTGAGGTCTGTAGGTTATGTGTGCCGATGAGGACATTGTGACTAGTGATATGTACCAACCGTTCACGACATACTCGCCCATATCCTAAGATGGGAGTCTAATTAATATTCGGACACCTCCGCCTCACACTCACCCGCATCTTGTTCTCATTCCATCGCAGAGTTTCTGGCTCATACGCATACTTCCTCACAGTCATACCCAGACTTACTCATACTAAGACTTGTCATGTGTCCTCTCTCTCCTCTCCCCCTCCTCCTCCTCCTCCTCCTCCTCCTCCTCCTGAAAAGATAAGCGGGTGACTTCGATAAGGAGGAATTTGTCCTTGGCTCGAGGCTCAAGCCGGCTGCGGTGCAAACAAGGGATTTCTACAGCCCCCCTCAGATCTGACTCTCTTCGTCATCAGATGCCCTTTGGAGGCAGAGCTGAACAGTTCCAGTGGTAGATCAATCCCGGGACAATTCTTTGATCTTCGACGCAACGGTCTTCAGCACGCGCGCGGTAGAAGATACGTCCCGAAGATAACCTACGTCAATCAAAATATCGCGCACCACAGTGCGCTCGCTCCTGGTATCGCTGGGGGACCTCGGCCTCGCCTCAACGCTCGTGCTCGGCGACTGACGCCGGGAACGGGAGCGAGTACGCTCTCTGAGCTCGGTCTTTGCGGTCTTTGCTGGTTCTTCTTGCTTGACCGTGCCGTCTGCCACGCGGCTGGTTGCCGGAGGTGGCGTCGGAGGCCTCTGGGGCGTTGGTGAACGCTCGCGCCAAGCCTCTGTGTGATTGTACTCTGGATACTATGGCCCAACCCCACAGTAACGCAATGAGCATGAATTATCAATCTTCGTTGACTTGTCTGCACCAAATCCGTGTGGACCATGGGCACTGCTCAAGTGTTGTACCAAACGATACGAAAGAGTCCCCTCGACTTTTCCCTTGCTGGTCACACTCTCGGCCGGCACCCTCGCATAGTAATCTGTGCACTCAGGGCATTGCTTGTAGCACCATGCTACGCGAGATGGCAACATTGTACGTCAGAGACTCACGAAAGGAATGCTTGAGCCCGTGTTGTGGCTACGGACAACAACGGCATTTTGTAGCAGGATGTTTCTGTGAAACATGAGTAGGCAAGGCTTCTCTATCTCAACGTATCCCCAACATTCGCTTCAATTCCTGAAGCCGTGCCTTGTCGAGATATTTCGTGCCGATGTCTGACACATTGTCTGCCGATGCTACTTTCCCTAAGCTGATGCGCTTCGCTGAAAGAAGCTGCTGGATGTGAAGGAACTTAATGTCGATATGTTTGAGCTTTCCGACTCCGATTCTCGACGCGATGGCTCTGCCAGCGCTGCTGTCCGACTTTACTTCTACACTTACGTCGAATCCGAGTTCCTTGATGAGACTCTGTGCGTGCAGCCCCTCTGCTGCACCCGATGCAATGGCGTACAGCTCTGCTTCGCCGCTCGATTGGGCAACGACGCTTTGCGTTCTACTGTAATTACCTAGAACAGCCGATCCCCAGAATATCACACCTGCCGACGTGCTCTTTCGTGTTTCGTGGCACCCTGCCCAATCAGAATCAACATAAACAACTACATTACGCGTTGTGTTCTCGCATTGAAGATGCAACGATTCGTGCCGAGTGCCTTTTCAGATAACGAAGCAGATGTTTCAATTTTCTCTCGCACTGTTTGGTCGGCGACGCGAGTCTTCTTGCCAGCTCTTTGACCGAAAAATGAATATCCCCACGCTCCTGGCATATAAACTGCAGCTTGCCTACAGCGCGCCGATACATGTGATGATGCTTTTGATCTAGGGTCTCAAATTCTTCCCCGACAGAGCCCTTCACCGTAGCGGTGTCTTTTGTTCCTGGGGTACTCACAGAAGTACAATGCAACATATTATAAATCCTCAGCGCTTCGTCTATGTATTTCTCTGTTGGGGAAACCTTAATCTTTCCATCGCATTTTTGATAAAGACGCCCGAGGTATTTCGTAGGAACCTCTTCGTTGAATCGTTCTCCAATTTTGAACGAAACATGTTTCTTCAACTCCTCGAAGAAACCTAACACCTGAGATGTTGAACCGACTGCAATGGGTTCGTCAACATGAATACTAACTCTCACTCCTGTGTTCTGGTTCCAAAACACTTGCGGGTCTGTGCGGCACCGCGTATATCCCAAATACTGCGTCAAGACACCTGTGATGAAATCTGGGAAATTCTGTGGAGCTTTTCTCAACCCGTTCATCGCTTTATTCATCTTCCAGACCCATCCGGGATACCTGGATCGCCACGGCTCCGGGGGCCTGCAGAAAACATTCTCGTCGCTTATGTCGGCATGCATGAAGGCTACACTAAAATCACCTACATACACTTCTAGGTTATGTGCCAAAGCAATCGCGAGCAAGATGCGTAAACCTACTGGCGTTGGGGTCGCAGCAAAAACATCATCTCGTGTGCTTTTCGATTTCAAATCTTTTGCGCACAATCTCGATCGAACTTCGTCTCCTTTCCTTTTGTGGACCCAACATGTTTTGATAGGTTTGCTCTCTGCCTTGTTTTCTGGCCACCACGTGTAGACATTAAAGTAATCTAGATTCCCCATCTCTTTCGACATTCCTTTCTCGACGTCTTCCTTTTTCAAACCGTCGGTTAATTCAACTCCCGAGAAGCACTCTTTGAGAAGTGCGTCGTTGGCATGCGAGTCGTCCGCAACTGTTGGTTCAGGTTCTTCGCACAAATACTGGCTGTCATCAATATTGTAAATGGGTCGAATCGCGGACATTGCCATCGATCCAGGTGCATCTGGACGTTTTGCTTCCGCTTTTCGTTTCAAAGCTTGTTGTTGCATCTCCGGCGACAGAGCAAGCTCGTGTAGTTCCTCATTGCTGATGTCTGGTTTCCGCTTTTGCGCACGTTGTGCGTCTCGGTCTGCTGGAAGTGCGTCTCTTCCAGAAGATCCACCTGCGTCGTGGTCAATTCTTCTGTGTTTTACTTCGTATTTCGAAGGCTGTTGCAGAGGACGCGTTTCCTGTTTGTCTTCGTCTTGCTTGAGTTTCTCTGCGCGTTTCAATTCCCATTCCTGTCTCCTCCGCTTGCACGCAGCTGAATGCGTGTTTCCGTGAGCACCGTCTTGGCACGCTTTGCAATTCTCAGTCTTACCACACTCGTCCCAAAACAAATGCAATTTTCGATTGGCTTCTCTCGGGTGTTGTTCTGGCGAGGAGGCTTGAGGATACGGCTACTCCTGCGGCGCAGAGCTTGGCTGACCTTCGGCGCCAGGGCGCCGGTTCAAGTCCCAAGGTACGCCGTATATCTGCTTAATCAAATTTGGATTGAATCGTGCAGATTCTTCCATTCGCCGGATGTTCCTGGTCTGTATGAGCCCCCTGGGTGTTGCGATGATATGCTCGTCATTTCCTACTGCTTTGCCCAGCCATGCTCCGGCAACCCAGTGTGGTTCCATTTTGTTCGTGATGGGTCCGTTGTAACGCGCGCTCACACATTCCCCAAATTCAACCACGAAGCCGTGGTAGGCATTTCGCTTGCATCTTTCACAAGACGTCTTTCCGTCTGCATGCTTTTGAAAACGGGAGTGGAGCCAGCCGCAGTGGCGAATCAACCACGGCGTGATCATGCTCTTGTTGGTCAAAACCATATTGTACCTCCCCTCGAGAGCCAACTTCTGGGTTCGGAGAAGGCCTTCTATGGTTTGGTGAAATCTTTCGACAGTTCCGTTTGATTGTTTCGATCCCACTGGTGTTTGACGAAGATGTGTTTTGGGATTGGTGTCTGATTCCCCACGTGCTCGTTTTACGGCCACTGTTCGCGCCAAATCCTTGATGGAACTTTCAGAGTCTGTCTGCAGGATGAGTTCTCCTGTCAAACCAGCATGCTCGAGGTGTGTAACGACATACCCGACGGCATGCGTGTCAGTGGACCCCTTTGCAATCACTTGGCTGCATGCACCGTGCCCATTTGCAACATCAATGATAGACACACATGTGATTACACTGTCGTCGTCACGAGTTTTCACAAAGAAGTAATCCATCTGGACGATAGGAATTGCAGACTCCTCTGGACGTTTGTGTGGGGACTGTTTGGCGCGTCCACGCACGCACCATTCGCGCCAATCTCTGCGCGGGATGTGAGTTAAGTTGTGTTCATCCCGTTCTTTCTGCGTTGGTCCAGTGGGAATTCTGGGAGCCAGCGGTTTTTCTCCTTCGTCGACCTCCTGTCGCTCTGGCTGCGACGCCGGAGGCGCCTTCGATGGCCTAAACATGGTGATTGATTGAAACGGCTGATGTTGCATCCAGGGAATACTGTCGAATGTTTCGTCTTTGCGCAGAAGTTGTGCTATCGACGCGTCATCTTCCAAAAGTTTCCACACGCAGCCTTTCACCATCTGGACCCAGGTTGTTCTGAGGCCTTCCGTCACGTTTTTAAGACAAATAAATCCTATTGGGGAAGCTGTTACTACATAAGTGACCTCACCAATCTCATGCGTCCCTGGAGGAAGTGTTTGAACTTCTGTTGGCGGTTCCGTTCTGTTCGGAGACTGCGTTTGTGACCCTGATCCTCGTACGTGTTGGGGTGCCTTTTCCGAGAGGCTCTGCTGAGCTTCGGTTGAATTTCTGTTCTGTTCGTGCGATCGTTGGGTCTCACTGCTGGTCGGGGTGTCCTTCCGAACAAACAGAGTGATGGTTTTTCCGGGCATGATTTCGTCTTCTGGTTTCTGCATTGTCGTCCAATCGACGCGGTTCTCCAAGAGGGTCCAAGGAAGTTTGGACCATTTGACCCAGGTGATTCGCAGAGGGAATTTCTGCGCAACCTCGTCATAAGATAATTTCTTCGGTAGGCTTTCGATTGGCACGCGAATTTTCTGAGCTCCTGGCGTTATCACGCAAGGTTCTCCCTCAGAGGTGATCGCCCAGATTTCTTTATGCAATTTCGCTGGTATTGCTGTCAAGAGCTCCTCTGGCGGTTCATCCAGTGGTCTGAGAGCCGCCGAATGTGTGGACTGATTTTGGACAATTGGCATGATGTGTGTTGGATTTGCAAACCGG